CACACACACACACACACACACACACACACACACACACACACACACACACACACACACAGTTTTACAGATGACAGCGAAGATGACAGCGAGATTGAGGGACCAGGCTGGGAGCCTTAATTTAAGGGCAGCTCAAGTCTCTTTTTTAGGGCATGGTGACATACGCCTGTCTGTAATTCCGGCACTTGGGAGAATCGCTCCGAGTTCCACGTCAGCCTGGGCTACATAGTTCAAGGGTTCAAGGCTATCCTGAGCTACAAGATGAGACCCTGTCTCAAAATAAATAAATAAATTCCTGCTCTGACTCCAGCACTGACACAGGGTGAGGCTTGTAGTGCCCAGTAAATGTGGACTGTATGAGGGAGGGGAAGGTAGGGAATGACTTTGACCTTGATCTTTCTGGTCTGTTGTCTCAACACAGCTTCTTAGCCTCACCCTGAGGAGATAATGGCAGCTGTTTCAACGCTGATTTATGTTTCTAAAACTCAACTGAAGACTCAACTGTCTGCTTGTTTCAAATATGGTATTATTGTGCATTTTTTTTCAGAGGGTGCTGGGGATTGAACCCAGGACCTCACAAATACTAGGTCAGCATTCTGCCACTGAGCTACATCTCCAGCTCAGATGCTGTAGATGGTCTGACTCCTTCTCATTGTACTGCTTAGTGAAGACACTCCTGAGAATTTTTTTTTTTCTTTTTTTTGGTACCGGGGATCGAACTGGGGTCCTTGCGCTTGCAAGGCAGGCCACCGAACCGCTGAGCTAAATCCCCAGCCCTTTTTTTTTTTCTGAGAAATTTTTTTTTATAAAATAGTATTTTAATATGTGTCCTTAAAACTAAAGACTATACATGATTTGGCATTTCTTTTTTTGTCTTTGGTACCGGGGATCAAACTTGGGACCTTGTGCTTGTGAGGCAGGTGGCAGAACCACTGAGCTAAATCCCCCACCCAAGACTATGCATGATTTGGGAATGAGACTATACAAAACAATCGCCAAATAATTGTCCATTCATTCCTTTCCTGTCCGGTTGCTCAAAAAGATAATGTTACCAGCCGTGACTGTCGTCACCTCACATTATTCTTATCCATGTGTTCACCATTGTCTACTTTCCCTTCCATGAAAATTTGGACCCCTTTTTCATACACGGATACAATACATCACTAAGGCCTGGCCCAAACACTGATATCTTGTGTTGTGTTGTTGCTTGACTGACATCACCTATTTGGTATGCTTTATGCTTTATTGTCCCCTCATTGCCATATCTCATTTGTTGCTGGAGAAAATATGGCGACTGGAGTTTTTCCTTCCACCTGCCTCATGACAGGGTCCCGACCCACTTGCCCAAGCACCTGCACCTGATTCAGAGACTTTCAAGAACCAAACTGCTGGCTACTTCATACTTGTGTCTTACAAGCTGATGAAGCACCTGTAACAGGTCTTCAAAAAAGCACAGCTCCTATTTTCATTTTTTACAATCCAATCTCTGGGCTCTTCCTGGCACACCAGCCAGTACCACCTCCACCCAGGAGATCACTTCTGGTGCACAGACCGGGGATGTTATTGACCACTAGCAAGATGTTTTTCTTGGTGGTATTTGAACTAATGGTCTCTGTGTTGGTGCTGGATTTATTTTAGTATCTATTTGCTTAAAAAAGAAACTGGCACAGTAAACACCAAGTTTTCTAAATGAATCTGAGCTTGGTGTGGTGGTGCACACATGTAATCCCAGCACTCAGGTGGCTGAGGCAAGAGGATTGCAAATTTGAGGCCAGCCTGGGCAACATAGCCAGAACTTGTCTGAAAATAAAAAGGGCTGGGAAGGTAGCTCCGTGGTAGTAGAGCAGCCCTAGGTTTAATACCCAGCACCAGAAAGAGGAGGTGGAGGAGGAGGAGAATTTGAAGAACACTATTTGGTATTTAATATTGTGGGTGAGGGGCTGGGGATTTAGCTCAGTGGTTCTGCCACCTGCCTTGCAAGCAGAAGGTCCTGAGTTCAGTCCCTGGTACCCCGCCCCCCAGAAAAAAGAAAAAGAAAAGAAAGAAACTAAGTAATATTATGGGTGATACGAATTATGAATGAATGGCAGATTTGGAGGGAAATAGTACATGAAGTCGAAAAGCATAGTGCACAGGGCTGGGGATTTAGCTCAGTGGCACCATGCCTGCCTTGTGAGTGCAAGGTCCTAAGTTCTATCCCTGTACTAAAAAAGAAAGAAGGAAAGTGACCTCTGATGTTCATAATGCAGAATGGGCACTGGCCTGGCTAATACCTCAGCAGCTCACTGAGAAGCAGGTCCCAGAGCTTTGTCCTCAGTGGCACTCATCAAAACCTTATTGGAGGGCCAGGGGTTTAACTCAGTTGTGCTGTACCTGCCTTGCAAATGCAAGGACCCAACTCTGATCCCCAGTACCAAAAAAAAAAAAAAAAAAAAAACCAAAAAAGCCCTAACAACCCCTAAAAAAACCTTATTGTGAGGTGATGAGCTCACCTGAATGGGCTGCTGGAGATGGGTCCAGCTGGAGGAAGTAGGTCACTCGGGACATTCCTTCTACTTCCTGCCCACTGTGAGGTGAGCGGCTCTCAGCCTTGGAGGCAGCCATGGCCAGACATGGCCTGCAGCCTCCGAAACCATGAGGCAAAATAAACCTGTGCTGCTTTAAGTTGTTTTCCTCTGGTATCTGGAAACTGTGACAAAAAAAACTGCCTGACAGCAGTTGGGAAGCTGGCACAGTAAAGCCTGGAGCTGCTGTGGGACATTTTGTTAACAAGAAGGAGACAACTTGCCTGAGAAGGTAGACAGCCTAGAGTAAAGCAAAGAGGCTGAGGCCAAGTCATGACATTGTTTGAGCCTCAGCTGCAGCCAAGCCTGAAGCCATACTACTTCTGATCTTCCACTTCTTTAAGCCAAATACCAACCTCTTTTTCAGGTTTAAATTAGTTGGGATTTCTATTACTTATAGCTCAAAAAATCCTCAGCATTACACCCCATTCCCAGGGAGAGGTGTTTCTCTCCTTCACAGCAATACACTTTGGCTTCACCTGGCCCTGCATGCTGTCCTTTCCCACCTTCCCTGGAAACTCTTCCTTCAATGAGCACTTTTTTTTTTTTTTTTTTTTTTTTTTTTTTTTTTTTTTTTTTTTTGTACTGGGCATCGAACTCAGAACCTTGCACTAGGGAGGCAGGTGGTGGAACCACTGAGCTAAATAAATCCCTGGCCCAGTGACCACCTTTTCTGCTGGTTTCTTTCCTCCTAGGCTTCAAACATCAAGTACCCCCTTGGCAAACCTTTGGACTTTTTTGTGTGTGGGGGGGGTGCTTGGGGAGGGACCTTGCGCAGGCTGGGCAAGTGCTGTAGCACTGGGCCATACCCTTGGTCCCACCCTTCTGAAACTACAGCCTTCATCTCCTTCCTTTCTCAGCCAAACTGCAGAGTACCTCTCCAGCCACATCGCTTTCCTTCTCTATCCTGCACTCACTCACCCACATTGACCTCCCACTACCACCGCTTCCCTAGGGACTCTCACCTGCACCGCTCAGCGGTTTATTAAAGTCTTCCAGAG